AGACATCCGCTTAAATATCTTAAATACATAATTGATTAACCCATTTCTAATGAATTAAACATATAAATTTTTACTCTCGGGGCGTTATTTTGAAACCATATATATTATTTTTAGGGTGTACGATTTTCTAAAGCGAATTTCACACACAGCGTGGGTTTCACACTGTCGTATTATATTTGGATGATTTTGGGCTTGTTAGAATCTTCTCATTATTAAGAACATTTTGGTAATAAAATCATTTAAAATAGACCAATAATTTATTGCCACCCATCTAAATTAAATACTAAATTGATTGACTGACCCTAACCCTAAGGTGATGTACGTCATCAAATTACTATTTAATTTAGACGGGGTGGGATACCACCCCGGGTGGCACACAGACTTTTCATAAAAATAATTAAAAAAAATATAAAAACCAAATCGGTGGATATACATACCGAATAATGATAATTTTTACCAACGCTAAAGAACCTTGTACGTAACCTGAATTGCAAAGCATTTGTATACGTACAGCAGTATATACTTGTCAAAGTAATCTATTATCTATTATATAGCATACTTGCTATTAGTTACAATTTTTTTATATCATGATGAATGCGAACTTGTTTCTGCAAAAAAAAAAAAAAAGAAAAAAAAAATTGTATGACTTTTTTTTAAGAATGCTAAATTTTCTTTGCGAAAAAAAAAATAAAAATAAAAATAAAAAAAAAAGATAAAAATAAAAATCGTATGACTTTTTCGACATTACCTAGACTTAATAATATAGATGCAGACTTATGACATCATCTAGTTACGTCCTATATAAAAAATCGGTTTATAAAATAAATCGCAATTGAGCTGTAACTAATGACGTAAATAAGTCTGCATCTATACTTGCTACATAACTAACCATATATAAATTAGAGTGAATTTTACTTCATGCTGATTAACTTAAATTTTTACAAAACATGACTTCAGTTCTTGATCAATTAAAACAATGGACCACTATCGTTACTGATTCGGATGATTTTAAGTGTGCGTATTATTAGGTCGTTATCTTGCTTGCAGGCTCATATAATCATGGCCTTTTTTTCTTGATATCGTCGGCAAGGTTATATCGATCGATAAAATTCGATTATGTAATAGATGGTAGCATCGATATTGGATCATGCGATGGGACCTGCACGGGCCTGATAAAATTATCTTTTTGCCGGCCCGCCCGGTCCGACCCATAAAATAAATTTTACTATGTTTTTAAAAAGTTTGGCCCGCTTTTTATTACTGTATGTTTTTGATATATTCGACCCACAATTTTACTATATTATTTAATTGTCTTAATTTCGGCCCGGCCCGTGCAAGCCTCTAGTCAGAATAAACGGTTTGCCGCTATGCGGCATACTTATGATAACTTTATCTAAATAAATTAATAATAAAATATTGCAACTTTTAAAAAAATACATAGTCATTACTCAATACAAACCACAAAATGCAACTATTAATCCTTCTTTAATATTGGAAGCATGTAAAGACCCGAAATACGATTATTTAATTAATTCTGCACTAGAATATGCAAAAGAGAAAGAAAGGTAATAATCATTTAATATATAAATTATCTTTTATAATTTCGAAATTAAATCTTTTAAAATTTATTAGATTCAATGAGAAAATAATCGAATTGGCTGCTGATAAATTAGTAATTTATTTTATCGTTATTTTATTTTTTTTAAGCTTTCTTTATATTAGCAATTTAAAACTGATTCTTAAAACTATTCTATTCATAATTTCATATTTTATAGTTGATAGACTTTGGCTTTGAAATTCTTAAAATTATTCCAGGCAATATATCGGTAGAAGTGGACGCAATCCTTTCTTTTAAAACTGAGGCAACGGTCGCTAAAGCTAAGCATCTAATTGCTCTTTGTGAAGAAGTTGGTGTTGATAAGTCACGCGTCATGATTAAGATTGCTTCAACCTGGGAAGGAATTCAAGCTGCTAAAATACTTGAAAATGAAGGAATTCAATGTAATATGACCCATATTTTCTCTTTTACTCAGGTAAGCTTTTTTTTTTTTTAATCTTATTATCCTCAACATTCCATTTAATATACTAAAATATCAAACCACTTTTTAAAATTAATTTATATAGGCTATTGCTTGTGCCGAAGCTGGTGTAACTCTAATATCTCCATATATTAGCCGTTGGTATATGAAGAATACTAACAAGACTTATAAATCAAACGAAAATCCTGGTGTTTTATTTGTATCAGAAGTTTATAAATATTACAAAAAATTTGGTTACAAGACCATCGTAATGGGTGCGAGCTTCCTTAATACGGGTGAAATTGAAGAATTATCAGGTTGTGACTTTTTGTCAATTAGCCCCACGTTATTAAACAAATTACAAAACAGTTATAACAAAATAGAAAGGAAATTGTGTCCTGATGCAGGTATGTTATAAATATTATAATTATTAGATGTTTATATATAATCATGATTTTGAAAAAGTACAAATATTTATTTTTTTTTATAAAAAAAAAATACAACTTTTATTTATCTTTGGGAATAGCACGTAATTATTTAGGATTCAAAGTCAATTACGACAAAAATTCTTTTAAATGGGATCTTAATAGAAATCCTATGGCCACTGGAAAATTGGATGAAGGTATTAAGTCATTTGCTGAAGACAATAAAACTTTACATTTAATTTTAAAGCAACATTTGACTAATGAAGATCCGAAAATTTTTAAAAAAATTTCTGAAAATTTCCGACTTTTTGTTTTATAATTATGCTTTTTGTCTTAGAACATATTATATATCTCAATAGTTCAATTAGCCCGTCAATTTACAATGGATAATATCAGATTCATTACGTTAATAATGCAAATAATTAATAAAGCATAATTCATTGTATGTTTAGTTTTTGGAATATATTATGTAACACATCACTGCGTAATTTATATAAAGGAAAATATTTTACGGAGTTTTCGTGTGATTAGTAAATATCTCTAGCAGATTAAAAATGTAATTTCGTATGCAATCCAAAACCTGTAATTCCAAATTAAATCTAAATCGTAGAAAATGGGTTGAAAATAAAAAAAAAATTAAAAAATAAAAAATAAAAATAAATTCGTTATATTATATACTTGCTGTTCTATTATAGTTTGTCACGCCCAAATTCCAAATCCCAAACTCGAGCTAAATTAATTTCTAAAAAACTTTATTAATAATATTTATCTAAAAATTTAAATATATTCTTATATAGAATATATTTACAAAGTATCAAAACCATTATTTTTTTCATTTAATTTTTTATAAATAGCAATTGTTTTTTGGGGTTTAGGCTAATTTTTGACAAATAGTTATGCAACCAAAATTAGAAATGCTTAGGGTCGGGATTTTCGCGTGCGGCGAGGAAAATTGAAAATCAATTGCCCGGTACTAGCTTGTACTTTTTTAGTGCGTAATGTTTCATTGATATATCATTGCAAATTTTATTTACAACTTTAGAAAAGCGCCAGCTTTTACTGTACAAAAGAATCTCGAAAAGCTGTCAAACCCGATATACTTATTTTAGAAACAATTGCTTATTAGACCGTTCAATAGAACAAAAGTAATTAAGATCGCTTTTTTATTATATCGAATTTAAATAATATATATAGTTATTACATTCAATAACTATATATGATTTAGCAGATCTTACGGCATACAAGTTCTTTATAATAACAAAGAGAGCTAAACCAATTTAGTCTAAATTCTTGGCATAATGATTGTGAGAAAAAAAATCTAATTAGCATTTTGATAGTCTAAATAATGATTGTGAGAAAAAAATAATATGTAAATAAAAACAAAATTCGATCATATTCACATGATTTACGTGTACGTATATGCTTAACTGGAACTTTAACTGGAACAATGGCGGTAAATCTTTTTTTGGATCCGGCGTAAAAATATTTAAAAATATAAAATATTAATCCGATATATTTTTAGAAACATTTTCTACGTACTTAATGAACAGCTGTGGTTTATTAGTAGAATTTTTATGCAGCACCTAAGTTAATGTATGGTGCTAAGGAATCTACAGTACTTCTTATTTCATGATTTGTTACTGGTGTTAACATTAGTTTGTGATAATGTTTCCTTCCTCTCAAATAAACATTACACAGTAACGGCTAGAAAAGTATCGCAATGTAAGGAAATGCAGCTTACAGTTTATCTAAACAAAAATTTACAGCGATTGTTAACACCAACATTATGGCTTATGTCCTATTTCTTTATTTTATTTGTTTTTTTTTTTATTATTGTCGTACCTGAAGTTGCAACTTCAGGGTGTGTATAACATGATTACGATAATCGATGTAATCGTTAAATTTTGAGTAAAATTAATGACATCTCTGAAACTCAAGCAATCAACCCAAATTTATTTGGATACACTAATTTTCGTCGTAATAAACCAAGGTCCAAATTTTTTCAAAAAAGGATCACTAAAGATATGTAGCCGACCTATATAGGCTTATCAAGCTTCATTGTTACCGTATTATCGTATTACATAGTAACCCCTCATCTATAATTAACTGATATGAGTGACAGGAAGGAAAAAACTTGCAAATTAATTAACCATCGTTCATCTTATCGGACTCAGCCCCCGTAAAATTAATCCTGTAATGATTTAAATGTGAAAAGTTGTTCGCTCTAGTTGCTTCGATAAGATGTGTTTGATATCCAACGATTTTTTTTTTTTTTTTTTACCTCTTAAATAGGTAATAAATATGTTCTCAAGAATCAGATTCGTCAGGGGACTACGAAGATTGGTGAATCAATTCACAAGTTTTCTCTCTTCGTCATTCATCTATTTTTAGTTTGATAAATTTTCGGTTGGAAAACATTGTTGCTATCATCTGTTTTGACCTAAGTATATTAATCTATCTAAAAATAGTTTAAGGTATCTTCAGTCAAAAACCTCTTACGTAATTATAAACTTAAAATATTACCACAAAGTGTATCGCAAGGGATGTCAAACTTAAAATGTTTAACGTGCGTGCGTGCGTGCGTGCGTACGTACTGTACGTACGCACGAACCTAAAAAATTTAGGTTGGTTAGTTTCTATCTTTAGTTAAAATTATCAAGATATAACAGGTTACCTACACGTTGGTCCTTCAATCGTATAATTTTTTTTTCTTTGTACTCAATCACAGGAATGAAATTATTATCATAAATAAAAATATATTTATTAGATCATACATCAATCTATTGTAGTTTATTCTTGAATTGTTCACGGTCATGCTTTGTTTTACTATAATAGGGATATCACAACCAAGAAATCGAACAATCGCATATACACAAATATAGAAATTATGTATTTATTCAATATATGCCTTAACGTCTTTACACAATTAATCATATAGATATAGAAAGAAACAAAAAGCAATTAAATATTACTATGTTATTATGTGAAATAATCTCATGGTTACAAAAAGTTAATGGATCATCTACAGTATGTTCAAGCACCATCTACTGTATGTTCAAACAAAAACCGATAAATGTAGAAATCTTAAACAGTAATATGTCGTCATTTATGATGATAACCGTGAAATTAATCCATTGACGTACTGATCCATGAGAGGAACACTCGCTTGAAAATCGGATCCACAAAAAGGAAAACTATCAATTTCGATAGGTATTTCACCCTCACCAACAGCCTCTTCATCGTCAGTAACAACGATGTTTTCGACAGAATTTTCATCGTTGTCTTCGATGTTATTAGAGCTTTCATTGACTGAATGTTCGTCGTTTTCGACGTTACTTGAGCTTTCGATGGTTGAATAGTCGTCGTTTTCGATATTATTGGAGCAGCCTTCAGCGATAGAACTTACATCATCTTTTTTGATGGTATGCGAGTGTTTAGTGACCGAATCAACTTCGTTTTTGACGTTATTATTGGAGCTGCCCTCAGCAACCGTACTTTGGTCGCTGTTTTCAATATGATGATTAGTTTCGTCGTTTGCAGCTGCTTGGTGATTGTAAGAGGTCATGGTGGTATCCTTTTTGTTTGTTTAAACGTAAATTTTGAGGAGCGTAAAGTGTTGAGGGGTTTATTTTTTTTCCTTATTATTATTTTATTCGAGTTAAAGTTTTGCGTTATTATTTTCTTAATTTTGTGTCTTAGGGTTTTTTTTTCTTATTATTATCTTATTCGTGTTAAAGCTTTGCGCTATTATTTTCCTAATTTTGTTTCTTAGAGGCTTCTCTCTCTTTTTTTTTTTTAATAAGTGTAAACGTCAAAAAGAAAGACCCCCTAAACTAATCGATATTGTTTCAGCGTACATAAATGTTTAATTGTGGAACTAACGGCTAGCTGTAAAGCTGAGTCATTCAATCTCATGATTCGGGTGTCTCGGTGATTAGTTAATACAGTTTCCTATTAAAGGTTGAAAATGCATACAAGTACCGAACGATAATAGACTTTATTATTCGTTAAAAAGAAAAGAAGAGTAAAAGATAGTGACCCTCTCTAAGTACACTTTTTGTGATTAAAAAGCTCCCGCTTAGTGTATTTAGAGAGCATTTTATAAAATGCATTTTAAAAAAAATCCAATTACCGGGTTTACAATATCCAGATTTTTTTTTTTTGCTTATTACTATGTACGTACGTACATTGTTATCTGATCGAGTTATCGCATAATGGCCACGTGCATTATATCATCCGTGACACTAAATAACAATCACATGTTAATCACGTGAGCTTTAAACCATAACTTTAAAACGAGACCTTCTTGATAAATTACCTGAGATTAAAACGCCCGTGTTATTACTCCATGGGAGTTCCATGCACGTATATATGTTGATAGGCCAATAAATGTCAATTTAATAGGATTGTTAACTAGTCCGGGCATATGCGAATGCATCTCACACAGACTGTCTTCTCAATCCATTTTTCAGTATTAAATTTAAGGGCAAATTTAAGGGCAAATTTAAGGGCAAAATTTAGGGGCAAATTAAAGACAGAATTTTATTAACATACTAACGAATATTAATTTAAGGCATACAATATTCCTCGTTTGCAGAATATTTGAGTACAAAAAAAAAGTATTTTGTAAGAATCTGTATATAGCATTTTCTTGAATAAATGTTAAAAATAACGAATGTAAACCTGGAAAAATGGTGCAGTAAGCGGAAAATTTTGGAATAATAAACGGAATAAACGGAATAATTTTTTCATCATGAAAAACGCGAATTTATAAAGAGCTGGATACGTGATATAATTTTGGTTGATCTTAACTCATCACTTTGTCTTTTTACAAATGATACACAGATTTCTAAGTTAGGTCAATTGAAGGTTCATACGAACTTTAAATTATAAACCGCTATTTGTAAATTATGCATGACAATGAAAACATTGTATATATTGTACTAAGTGAAATCACTACATAGTTGTTACAAATAAACAAGATGAATGTTAAACAGTTTGGACTTTTATAGTTTATAGTCATATAATCTAATGACCTGCCTCTTGCAAAAGGATCAGTTATTATAAACCGCATTCTGAACCAGACTAACTCTTAAATTTACGACGGTACAAGTGGCGTGAGTACATATCGATATTAAAAATTTTTCAACAAAAAAAAAAAAATAAAACATATTAAGGGTAATGAGATAGCTTTGCTTATAATTTGTCTGGCCACCCTGCCCTATGAGTTTCGAATGCACTTAGCGTTTCATTATGATTATATAATCATCATGGTCTTTAAGAAAAAAATGCTAAGATCTTAAGCCTTCACATGTTGGATTATTCCTTTTAGTAATGTTGATAAAATATCATCAAATGGCTGTCTAAATAAAAATATTCATTTATATATATTTGATATACTTTATTAAGCAATGCATCGCATTTTATACAGTGATATATCACTTCTATTCTTATATGTGAATTTGATGATGACTGAGTGGTAAATTATTCATTATTTGTATCTATGCTTCAAGTCTATTTTTTAAACGGTTTTGGGACGTTCTAGATATGTTCCTTGTCAAATTCCAAATTCGACGACTAAGTGATTACTTATATTTCAATATTTCTAAGTGAATTTCGGCATGTACTGTATGTACTGTACGTACGTACTGTACAATAAATACAATTTAGTGATCCTGCCGACTATCATCTTATCTATAGATTTCAGTATAACCAAAGTTAGAATTATATCTGGTGTGAAACCGATAAATTTGTCGGCTTAGTCATAGCTGAAAAATAGCGATAACGATAATGATCGGCGAGAATAATATGTAATACAGTAATACTAGTTATAATGTCTCTTCAGAATTTCGTGATCTAAAAACCAGTTAATCCAGTTAATTTTAGAAAATTAATAACAAAGATTTCATTGGCTGTCTAAATGCAATTTCTCAATGAAGCCTTTGATATCGATATCAATTGTGCAAATATAATAATACACCGTTTTAAGTTTTATCTGTAATACAAAAATAGCGTCTTTTTTAAACAAAATTGCGCAACCCCTTTTTTCAATAAATTATGTAAGCATTCAAAATGGTTTTACCGATTTTAATACCGATACCCGAGGACTATTTACATTTGGTGAATTGTTCCACTATTTGTTAGTCCAAGAATGAGCCCTATAATAATAAGTGATATCTCATTTTTATCACATTTTGTCTATGTGTTGACCAACGGGAACAAAAACCTTGTTGACGGTTATACTACTGAATCCCGACATTCAAAATCCCGACATACAAAATCTCGACAAACAAAATCCCGACAACAAAATCCCGACACTGCCAAAATCTTAATAATACTACTATTAGTATTTTTGTAGTGTCGGGATTTTGATGTCGGGATTTTGTTTGTCGGGATTTTGTATGTCGGAATTTTGTATGTCGGGATTTTGAATGTCAGGATTCTGTAATAACCACAGTCAAATACCTGTGATTAAGTTTAAAATACAATAGATTTACGATTATAGTAAACGATGGGTTATACTCGGTTTTTTTTAAAAAAGTAAATTTCTTTAAACAAAAATTTATTTGGTTTAATATTAGAGTAAGAGTATAGGTATAATAGTAAAACTAAGCAAAAATTATAGTAAAATTTTGCAAAAAATTTTCTTGTTAGAGCCTAAAAGTGAATTTATAAGCAAAATTTTGAGATATGCTAAGCAAAAATTATAGTAAAATTTTGCAAAAATTTTCTTTTTAGAGCCTAAAAGTGAATTTATAAGCAAAATTTTGAGATATTATTGATTTTTTAAAAAGCATATTGTTTTTGTTATATGAAACTGATCTATATATTATATCTAATTTTGTAAATTAATTGGATAATTATATACTAATAATCACCAGTAGCAATAAAAAGTAAACTCTATTTAAGGGTAGGGTGAATGTAGATCATTTCTTATATAAGTATATCGGCTAAAAAAATATTACACAAAATTTTAATATGTGTTACATATAAAAGTTTTTCAAAATATAGTCGATTCTTGTAAAAATTTTAGAATATATACATTAAGCCCTTCTAATTATATTAATACAATTTTGAACTCTTATTTTATTTAAAAAAAATATACTTACATATATCGTAAATTCTTCCTAAGTTAACTGAAATTTGCCTAAGTTATATAATATAAATAACATGTGATCATCATATAATTTCAATTGAATGTTATTGTAAAAAAAATTAGTAACGTGATTACTAGTAAAAATGATCTACATTCACCCTACCCTTAAACAATAGCTTTATATCTAAACAATGTTTTATAACTTAACAATGTTTTAAGTTTTTAATCAAAGATTATTCCAAAATAATACCTTTATATCCAAACAATAATATAGGCTTTATTTTTTATTAAAGATTTTATTTTTATAGAAAGCTTTAACTTTTATTATTCAATAAGAAGCAGCATAAGGTTATGGATTGGTGTGATTGTGGTGGTGGTGCAGGACCAGGGACGTCAGAGAGTTTAAATAAGTAATCTCCTAGTTAGATTACAGTTATGGTATATAGTATAGAACCTTCAGGTGGACTACTTAAATTAGGCGACCAAAAGTTGCACATGTGGTTATATGTACTCTTGCTAACCAAAAATGTACTACTAAAATACTTAATAAAAATTCACCCTTCTGCGACATTGCAAAGGTATAAAAAAAAAAAAACTTTTATTAGAATTTTACCATCTATAAGAAATTGATCTTTATAAAGATTTTACAGATTTTGCAGGTTTTGTAAGTTTTATCAAAAATTTTGTTATTTAGCAAGAGTTTTATTTAACAATATTAATTATTTAGCCTAAATTAGAGAATAGCAAAAACTGTCATATTTACTAATTTGATTTATAAAGAGTTTTTTCAATAACCAGTTATATAAACTTTTGCTATTAAGTGATGTTAAAATAACAAATAAAATACCAAATAAAAAAGTTTTTAATAAATTAACAATAAATATTAAAAACAGCTATTCTAAGCTGTAAAATCAAAAACTATCATTAGTTGTTGAAGCTTTTGGATATTTTCAGGTTGTAAAAGATTGGTTTGTCATTAAAAGATTGGTTGTATAATTAGCAAGAGTAAATTCGGATGCAATTTTCCAGAAAAAGACCTTTTTAATTTACTTTTAGCTAATAATTGTTAGAGATGATGCTAAAATTTTGACTTATATTATGGTGTGGGAAGCTTTAAATCTCCATAAAAATAGCTTTACAAAAAATGCTACTCCTCTTTAAAAAATATATAAAATGTAAAACTAATCTACAAGATTAGTTCTTCTTATCTTTAAGAACAAAACTTGTAGTTTAAATTTAGATTTAAATCTAAACTGATGAAGCAGTAGCCTTTTAAAGTTTGGTTATTTATTAGGAAATTGTAAAAAGTGAACGTATATGTTTTCACTTTTCAACTAATCAGATTACTTTATACAGACCATGTGTTATACTAAATTTTATAAAATTTAGTAAGATCAGAGCTAATTAGACAGAAAATTTATTTATTTTTAGCATATGCTTGTATTTTAGGTTAAATGATTTTCTACTTC